GTGGCAAAAAAAAAAGATTTATAAAAAAAAAAAAAAAAAAAAAAAAAAAAAAAAAAAAAAAATGTTATGACAGGACAAAGTTAGGGCTGCCGCATGACTGACCACTCCCGCAGTGTACAGGGTTCTGTCGCAAGATTTCACGAGCGGCCCAGTCTCGTCCACTGGTTTTGCAGTGATGCAAAGTTTGAATCGCAGTTGAACAATGCAAAGACGTTGCAAATTATTACCAAGCAAAATGCACAGGCGCATTCACACAGACGAAAAATCAATTTATGAGCGACATACAGCTGCCTGCTGTGCACCGCCAAGTGATATGAATAAATTAATGTATTTTGTCAAAATCCGTCAAAAACAGTGATAAGCATTCAAAATGTAATTTGGGATATTTATATATACAGCACACACACACACACACACACACACACACACACACACACACACACACACACACACACACACACACACACACGTGGGGATAAATAAATTCATAAAAATCGGCAAATATGCAGCGCCTCATAAGTATCTAGTGTTCCACTGTACGACCCAAATTATTGAACGGGACATTTACATTACAAAAACAATTATAATTACTATTTCTCACCTCGTAACCTCTGCTTTGTGATGGAGAATAGACTAACGCAATGTTATCATGTTTAAAAGTTTCATTTTGTTACATGCTTGATTGACCTCGAATGCGTGTGTTTATACAGCTGATACACAATGGAGCACAGAGAATCAGGGGTCAGTTTAAGGTGAATGGAACCAAGGCGCTTGTTAACTGATAAGATAGGAAGAAAGATTCAACTTCAGGCGGATAGGGAGGACAGAATGCGCTCCAGCATAATAAGATGTCCTTGAGCAAAAGTTACAGATGTATCAGTTCATGGGAAGATGTTGGTGCTTGTACCAGGGAAGTGTCTTGGCCTCCAGTTGTCCACTGAGGGGTGTCCCATTGGGGCTGGCTGAGGGGTGTGGTATGTAAATGAAGAAGGGAGTGTTTTTCTAAATTGCCACTTGTATTTTGCATAAACTGTCAATAAAGGCCAGCAGGAGCTGCGAGAGTTCGGGTTTTCGGTTTGAGAAGCGAGCACGAGTTAGCGCGGCTTCAAGAATCGTACCTCCTGCCTGGCAGTGAAAGACAATCTGTTCCTGGTCGAGTCTCTGTTCAATTGTCCAAGTGAGCATCTCTGACAATTACAAAAACAATTATAATGACTATTTCTCACCTCGTAACCTCTGCTTTGATCCTGTTGTTCTCTTCAATGAGCTGCTGAATACGTTTGAGGTGTACTTCCTTCTCTGAATGTAGACGCTTGTACTCATCTGGATCAGAATCTTTTTGCTGACTCACCAAATGCTAAAAAAATAATATATGGGTAAAAACAAAATAGTAATAAAGCAAAAACTGCTTATTACTGGAAGCTAATGCAGTACACATTTTCAGTAAGATATATTAGTTTACTTGCAACTGCTTAATGCAGAAATCACTCTCTCACAGCCTTGTTCTCACATACTGTTCAGTGCAGTTAAATATACAAATATGGAACATGATTTGGGTTACAACAGCAAAAGAATAGAGTTCTGCTCCATAAATATGTGGCAGAAGGTAACGTGGGAGAAGCTGTAGCTCCACAGCTGCCCCCTGGAGGCCAAAAATGGTTTTGATTTGCCAAATGGAGAGGCTGCACTGCCTCAGATCTTTAAAATAATGCCTTGCACGTTACAATACTTACCACTGGTTGGATGGCCCTTTGGCTACATTTTGTGCATGGCACAACTTATACGAGAATTATAAGCACGTATGGCCAGCCTTTCAACTAACCTGTGTCCTAGCTTTCCAGCGCTTGATTTCATCGTCCAGTATTTTTTTCTCCATTTGTAGCATGCCACTCTTCTCACTCAGTTCAGTGTTTGTCTGTTTCAGTGGCAAAACATCTGACTCCAATTTTTGCACCTGCAAGATAAATTAGATTATTAATCTGGACTGAATAGTATGATAGTCCCCCCCATGAATCTAGAGAGAAAACGTGTTGATTCCGGGGAGAACAATCCTGATTCTGCAGGGAGCAAATCTTGATTCCATGGCTTAAAAGTTGATTTTCCGCAGGAACAAAAAAAAAAACGACCAGTTATGAAGCAAATTAATGTTCTAATGAAGAAAAAATTGAGGAAATCATCTGCAAAACCAAAACACAGTGGAACATGGTGGGTATAAAATAAACATCAGTATTCTCTTTGTCACTCTAGGGCAGATTTATATAATAATAATAATAAAAATAAAAATAGGAAGAATAAGAAATGTTATTTTCATTACTCATTAAATGGCAAACATTTCATCAGTCTGTCAACTTGCTGCGTGCATAATACTTAAATTTTTGAGAGTGGACACCAGCAAATCTGGAGACTGTAAAATGCTTGAAGACGGAAGAAAAAAAAACCCTACTTTTGAATGGTGATTTTGGGGGCGCAAATACAATTTGAGGACAGGTTATTCTTGAGAAATTAATTCTTGAGAAATTACAGTAATACTAACACACACACACACACACACACACACACACACACACACACACACACACACACACACACACACACGTCACAATTTACCTTAGCTTGGGTTTGCTGCAGCTCTTTCTCCAATTTATCCTTCTCCTCTCGCAGCATCTTGTTTGTCTCCATTAGGATGCTCATAGTTTCTGTCTTTTTCATTAGCTCATCATGCTGGGCGAGGGTCTTTGCCGTTACCTGACATTCAAGTATTTAAGATTTTGGTCACAAACTATAGTTTAAGTCAATTGGTATGCTTGTGTTTCGTGAATTAACTTCATAAAGTCAAAGTGCATGTCACAAAATGTTCTTCAATATCATAGGGTAGGACACGCTCATTAAATAGTATGATCAAATGTGTCTGAACTTTTGGCTTGTGCTATATATGCTGGGCAATAAAATGTCAAAGGGGTGGGGGGGAGACATGTTCCAACCTACTTAGGCTTACATTGTTGGAAATAAACATTACTATTAACTGAGGGTTCATTCAGTCTACAAACCTACCTGCATCCTCTGTCGAGCAGCACTCAAGCTGTCCTGAACCTCTTTTAGCTCCTGTTCCAGGTGTTCAACCCTTAAACGGTAACGCAAACTCTCCCCTTGAGCAAACTCAAAACGAGACTCTGCAATCTCCTTTTCACGACGCACAAACCTATGACACACAATGGGAAGAAGTTTGTAATTGGATAGTACCTTTACAAGTTCATATTATTCAAATCAGCTTATCATGTGGCCTTGATGAAACAACGATTATCTTGCATATGCTTTTTGAGACACTGATGTAGAAAAAAACTGTCACGAGGGGTATACAGCATTTTGTCCATGGATACTTCAACAAGTAAAGCAATAACATTTCCTCAACAGTCACTTAAGCTAACACCCAACTAGAGGTAGGTATCAAAATTAATCGATTAATTGACAAGTAATCGATTATAAAATTAATCAATAGCTATTTTTAATAATTAAGCGTTTTGAGCTATTGTTCATTTTAAAGTCTTCAAATCCTCTATTTTCAGCCTCTTAATAATTATTCTCTGATTTCTGTAGTCTTTCATGAAAGAGGACTCATATCTTTTGTATTTAATCAAAATTACTTTGGAAACAATTAATTAACCAGTTTCAAAAAGGTTAGTTAATACATTAATCCCTCTCCTGTGATACTGCTTATTTGTTATTGTTTTTAAAATCACTAACCAATACAAAATAAACAATAATTGTTTTATAATGTGGGGGGGGGGGTTATAATATGCTTTAATGCAAATTAAAATTTGAAAGGTACCCATCTCTACATAGGAAACCACATTTAAACAAATAATTCAGGAGGAGTGGATATTAGGTCAGTGCATCCAGTAACTCTTATTTTATAGTGTAAAACTATTTTTTTCCCAGATGAACATGTGCTACCTGAGAATCTCAAGGACTTGTTCTTGAGATTTGCCTTCTTCAGTCAGGGAGGTGTTAAGTGGACTCTCATTTGCAGCACGCTGCAAATTCTCAGCCATCTTGCTACTCATTGTTTGAATCTGTTCATGCAAGAGACCGTTCTGCCTCTGCAACTCTTCAAAGCGACTTTCTATCTTGGACATCTCCTCCTGTGAGATGACAAAGTGGAATGAAATACAATAGATTTAACCAGCATGCACATTAAATAGGACCCGTACATAATCCAGTGTGGCCTTCTACGAAAACATTCCATTTAAAAGCCAACCTTAAGGATGTTTTCCTGCTCCCCCCAGGAGATCCTGGCCTCCATTAGCTCAGCACTGGCTCGTTGGGCTCTCTCCTCCAGCTGATGCCTGAGCTCAACTGCCTGCAGCGCCTGAACCTTAGCATCCTGCATAGCCTTCACATCTGCAGCATGCAGCATCATCTCCTGCTCATACTTGTCTTGTGCCTCAGCTGCCAGTTTAGCCTTCAAAATTTGAAAGCAAACTAATTTCAGAATGTATGAAAAATACCCGCTATGCTATGCTGAGGGGAATATACAATGGGAAAAAAAAGCATCTGTAGGTAACTGGCTATCAGTGACAGGATGAAATTTATGGCCAATTAACATGGTGGCTATTTACCTGCTCTTGGGTGTCTTGTAAAGCCTGCAGCTGCTGGGATTCGGCAGCTGACAAACGTTGTAGTGCCATGTGGTGTTCTGCCTGGGCGCTGCTCAGATTCCTTTTGAGCTCATCCATCTAATAAGGTTTGGATGAAAAGATTTCTTTCTTTTTTTCTTCAAACCCATTTCAGGGTCGATACATTAAAAATGTACAGCTAAGAAAAGTATAAAAAGAAGATTGACGACCTGCTTATTCAAGGAGTCCATAGCCTGCTTATTTTGGTCTTCCATTTTCTGTTTCTCTCTCTCGGCATCCAGAAGCTTCTCCTCAAGCCTGCGGTGTTGCTCATCAGCCTCCTTCACACGAGTTTCAATGGAGGCACGAGCCTGCTCTGTGACCTAAACATTAGAAATATGATTCAAAGAGAAAATCTCAACGTTTTAAAAACAAGATTGGGACTCGTGTATATGAATATGAGGCTGCCCTTTTATATAAAGTTAACACGATGTGTGCATAGTTGTATTTCCTTAGAAGAGTACATCACCTGTTTCTCTTTGTCCAGGGATTCCTCCAGACTCTGAGCCATGGCTCGGTACTGTTCCATACTGGAAGTGGTTGCTTTAAGGCTCTCTGCCAGCTGCTCTGCCCGTGTTTCAGCCTGCAGCAAACGACCCTGAAGATCTTCCCGCTCTTGATTTGAAACTTGCAAGCCTGAAAGAAGGAACAATTGAACAACATTGTTTAAACAGGACTCTTAAGTGGGCCTGATATAACAACAGCGACTCGAAGTAATAACTAGATGCACTTAAAGATCGTCAAGTAAACATTTCGGCTATTTGAAATTAGACAGATGGACAACAAAACAAAAACTAATTTTCTTGGATTTAGTTGTAATATCAAGTAGAATGGTAATGGTCAGAATAACCACTCCTTGGCGCAACTCATTGTAAATCAGTACGTATGTGTACATGTTTCTTTGTTCCAACCTCTAGTTTTGGGTGTGGAGGGGGAGCCCAGGATGTGACGTTGTTCGATGCTACCTTGCTGCACCCTGAGGGAGTCGAGTTCTACCTCGGCAGCATTCAGGAGCTCTTTAGTCTTCTGGTGTAAAGCCACTTGTGTCTCCAATTGCCGTTTTGCTTCCATTACTTGGATCTTAGCAGAGGAAGGAGAAATATTATACGGATATTCTTTTTCTGCCTTCAATTGTTCAGTGTGTTACAATTGTATGGTCTGTGGAGGGAAAACGGCTCAATGAGGTCTCTATTGATTTGAATTGACAACAGTTGACAGGTTAAGTCCCATCAATTGGATGTAAATAAAAACGTGGTGGCCAACAAGAGACAAAGAGCTCAAATTCATTTCCTACTTCTTGATTTCTGCTCAGCAAATACCGCTGTTCCACCTCATGCTCCAACCTCTTCTGTAGCTGAGAGATCTCTCGCTCTTGCTTCTCAATCTGGCTGTCAAGGCGCTGACGTGTGTCAACATCTGAACGCTCAAGCGTCGCCTATAAAACACTCATGTTGGGAACCAATAGTTTTGCGTGCATGGCATTGAGGGAGTGAGTCGAGATAATTAAATTTACCTGAATAGCCTGAAGGTTGGTCATCAAAAGGTTCTGACTCTGTTGTTGACTCACGATCATATCCTTCTCTTGAGTCAACCTTGACTCAACCAGTTTCAACATGTCTCTCTCTTTACGCAGACCCTCAGAAAGACCCTAAAAAGAAAGATGCATACAGTTAAAATATTTTACAAATGTCCGTAGCAGCAATTTATGTTTTTCAAAAAATACCTCTGCTAGTGTGAGTTTTTCCTGTGCAGCTCGTAGATCCTCAGATAATGTGTTGATGGTCTGCTCGTGTTTCTGCGAGGCAGAGGCCAATTTCTGCTTCTTCTCTCTGATGGAAGCAACCTCTTTCCTGTAGCCCTCAACGTTGTCCTGCAACATTTCATACCTGCCATTGTTGAAAGAAAGGTTTTTACTCTGAATGAAATATTAAAAATGCAAAAATCCAACTTCCACATTACATAAATGTAGGAAAAACACGTTACAATTTGGTTCGTGCCAGATATTCAGAAGGCCATTTCGTTTTGTTCTCAAAGAGCACTTTGGATTCTTCTGGATTAAGCTACCGATAATTAAAAAATTATTCCTACAAATACTGTATAATAAAAATAATTAAATATATGATAAATGAGCTGAATGTCAAATTCCAATTTCAAAGCCATGAAGATGGTAGAATTAGGAATTTGACCTACATGTGTCGATCACAATAGAATGCCAAGCATAACTTTGCTAGCTATACATGATAACGTTAGGACAAGAGTAGACTGTTGGCAGCTGTGAGGCTGTGTGCGCATACTTATATCGAGCTGTAGATACTGTTGCAACAGTTATCATTTATTCTGTTTTAGATTCAATATTTGAAATAATCAATGACATTTTTTGTACTGTATATTGGAATGAACCAGAATCAATGGTTTTGTTCTCCCTTATGCCTGGTACACACAAGGATTTTTTGGATATGATTTTTTTATGTTTAATTTTTTTTATTATGTTTAGCAGGACCCCCGCATACATACAGAGAGAGAGAGAGAGAGAGAGAGAGAGAGAGAGAGAGAGAGAGAGAGAGAGAGAGAGAGAGAGTGTGTGTGTGTGTGTGTGTGTGTGAATGTGCATTGACAAAAACGACCAAGTTCTTCTATGTAGGTGCCAATGGTTGCCGAGTGTTTCCGAAGAGGACTGGGGAGGGGAGCGTTGTAAGGTTGCAATGTTGGCAAGGAAATACTTTATTTGGAAAATACTTCGTACCATCTGGGGAATAATATATACACTATTAAAAAGAGGAAGAAAAGAAGGGGGAAAATGTTCCAACGCATACAAACAAAAAATAAGTAAAAACGTTGTTGCCTTTGATTCGCCGGAAGATGACCGGGAAGTACATGATTTTTTTTTTTTGGGGGGGCAAAAGAGTTTATGTTGCACACAGATTTTTTTCCATATCACCTTGAGGGCTCCGTATCTACAGTCTGACTATGCAGGGCTGAGATTGCCACCACCATTCCCGCGATCCGAGTAAGGGAGGACAACCTTTGTTTTATTGGCCGATGTTTTCTTGGCCATCAGTCAGAGAGAGGGCTTCTTTGATTATTTGACATGCTGCCACATCAGACTGCGGAGTTTGCGGTGTCTGCTTCCCCAACCCACATAAAGATTTTTGCTCGAAAATATTGAAAACAATTATTTAAGATTGACGTCCGAATTGCTTTTGGATCCCATTTTGAGGAAACATCCAGACTTCATACACATCACACGCAAGGATAATCTTCTAAAACAATCTCATAAGACATAAGATTGTCAGCCGTTTGACATCCTAGGTCGGGAAGGGGCAAAATCTGGGCAAGATCGCCGGTCTTTGCGTGTACCTGATTTAAGAGGTTCCACAGTAATTGAAAGGTATCGTACAGCAAATGGTCCTGCTTTGAAGATAGAACAGACCTCTTGGAAGTGAACTCCAACTGTGTTGCCATCTTGGCATTCTGGGAGCGAAGATCTGAAAGCTGTTGCAGGAGTTTGTCATTCTGCTCGGTCAGTGCCTTGTCACTCTCCAATCGTTCTTTCTTATAGGAGGAAAACACCTCCTGCAGCTGCATAGGCAAGAATATATGTCTTATTTCAACTTGTAAAAAAGGTTTAGTTTAGCTCAGGAGTATTTGGTCAACAGCTGTACCTGTCTACAAAACAATCACATAATATTTTGCCACGTTTCTGTGATGAGACCAAATCTGTGTTAAGACTGATTTCACTCATTTCAATTAATTTAAACAAAGTAAACATGTATTGTACAAATTACAGTTCAGTAGATGTATATCATAAGAACCTGACAAAAATCACAAAAACAGGGACATAATTTCCCTCTGTAGTTTATCCATTATAAGATTTACCTTGTCGCAAGAGAGTGAATGCTGTAGTTTCTTTTCCTTGGCTATTTAATATGCTTGTGCCAATCAGGATTTCTAATTTCTTTCACTTTATTACAGCTCCCCACACAGAGCTAACATGGCATCCTACAGTGGGCCCTCAGGTACTCGCAGGTTGATAATTCACTTATTCATGGATTTTTTTTTTCAATATTTGATATTTTTCCATTTTTTCAATTTATTGTGAGTTCTATATAAAATATGTATTTTTGTAAATACATGAAGAAAAAATGCCAGAAAATTGCCAATGAATTTCCTGTAATTATATCGGGATAAAAAATTATCTGTATAGCGATACAATTTTTTTTGTCCATATGGCACAACTCTACCAACATGAAAACATGTCAGAAGTCACCGGAAGCTGTACAGTGTTGAAGACAGCCGGTTTGGCGTGACAGTTGGATTTCAAGCGACAGTTGGATTTCAAGCGCAACCGACCCCTACATAACTATTACTTATCATTTAATTGTGAGGAAAGTGATAAGTACAAGCAAGTTACTTTTTCATCATATCGTCATTATGCACGGTTCTGTAATTTGAAAGGATATTACAATTTCCAAGAGGAAATAAATATTTAAGTTAACATGCACTTTATTTTTCAGTGTTTTGCACAACATTAATAATTTTTACTCTGTACTACATATGCTCATATGTTACGTGCAAATTTGTATTTTGCTAAAAAAATGTATGACATGGTGGAGTTAAATTTTTCAAAACCAACCAAACAAAAACAATACAACATACTCCTATTTGCAAATTTTGACTTCTTGATCAATATTGGAGCATTTTAATTGATAAGATGACAAATCAAATTGCAACCTGAAGAATCGAACTGAAATGGAATCGCAACTTAAAGAATCCAAATCAAATCGAATTGTGAGGTTCTTAATGACAACCCCTATCTCTGTACATTAACATTACAAAAGAGACGTTGACATACCTGTCGCAGGGCTGCCTTGGCCTCCAATGCTTCAGCAGTGTCAGTTGCCATGGATACAAGTGCAGTGGGTGTCCCAGTGGTGGGTGTGGCTGCAGGTGAACGGCGAGGGGTTGACGTAAGTGTGAGCTCCTCAGATGATGTCCCTTAAACAGAAAATTGAGCTATACAGTATAGGAACACTAACATTACATTAGATTCAACGATATTTTTTTTTTTTGTGTGGGAGAAGATTATATTCAATGTCTAACTTTTTTGTCATGCACAATTAACAGCTTCTTCATACTTTACATTGTTAGTGATACCTTGCTGAGGGAAGCTGACTCCGGTTGCCTGAGCCAACAGCACACGGTACATGTCTCTTTGCCTCATAATGGTCTCTGCCATCTTTACGTGTTGGCTGCGTTGCTCCCTCAGAGACTCCACCTCAGCCAAGGTAGTCTCCAAACTCTGCTCCACTTCAACTCGCCTGTGAAAGCTCATGCTGATTAGCCCAATTTTTCATCATATCATCCAGGTTTGATTTACCACACACTGTTAAACGAACATGATTTCTTTTTTTGTGATCAAGTGGTAGAATTCAGACATGTCTACAGATATCAATAATGGCAGCATAAACTGAAGAGGAAATTGATGAAATCACATGTCCTCCAGTCAAAAAACATAGCCCATTAAATATAATGTAGATATTGAAGTGCATAGACCATTGATTAAGGATACTGTATTTTCCAGCAGTGGTCAGTGGAATAATTCCAAGGTTACTGAGTTTAAACTAAAGGCAGAAAGAGCAGACTAACTATACATACCAACTATCCATCCCTCCATTCATTTTCTAATCTCCTTATCCTCAAAAGGGTCATACCACTAATGTAGTATTGATATTTTTACTATTATTTATATGTATTATTGTTTACTTGCTGATACCTGATGTTGTCTCAGAACAAGTGGTTTGCATTAGTAAATGGAAATATGGGTCATGTGAATGTTGAGCATTCGCCACTTGAAAATACGTTTAAATAATAAATTGCATAGAGGAAGTTGAAATTGGACACTTAAGATATGCAGTATAATTCCAGCCAAAGAAACATCAACGGCATTGTCATAAAATAAATGATATTAACATACTTGTAACCAGAGGCTTCCAACTCCTCTTTCTCTTGGGCGTCACTAAGATCCCTGAGGGCCGCCAGAAGACGCTGATTCTGCTTCTGTAGCTCTTCCACACTTCGGAAGGTCACCAGGTGTTGACTAATCACTTCTGAGGTACTGCTAACATCCGCAGAACTCAACTCCTCCTCAATAAACACGTGGTTTCCTCGGGCCTCCTCGAGCTCAATAAGGAGCACGCGCACCTAAAAAAGAATCACAGGTCAGATTTTCCTGATTTTAAAACCAGGCTATGCCAACTTTTTTTTTTTTTTTTTTTTTTTTTTAATCAGAATAACCTACCTGATGAGCCATGTCTGCAAGCTGCAATTCAAATCTTTTATTGTCCCTTTCTAAAACAGAGGAACGCTTGTTGGCTTCATCAGCTTCATTCTGTAGGCGGTGCACCTCCTGAAACACACAAAGGAGCAAACATTGAAAGCTGCTGACTTTAAACGACAATGGAAAATGCTGTCAACAATAGATTAGGCTGAATAGTAAAACCTGCCAGACAAAACACGGCAAAAATAAAAGAGGTAAAACAAAAATCCAATGATTTAAAGTACGAAATGAAAGTTAACTTAAGATAACTAAAGCTTCCTTACACATTAAAGCTATGGCATTTTAAATATTTTACATAAACGTAATTTTAAACAAGTGCGAAAGAGATAGCATACTGCAGTAGAGAATGACAAGTAAAATAAGCTATTTGTCTTGAACTAGACCTTGCTTCCTTGGCACAGCTGATATAAAACAGTCGAACGTACACGTGACTAATTTATAAATGAGGATTTATGATTTTTGGACAGTGTAAAAAAAACAAAAAAAACGAAAGTTCATATTAAAGGTCAGCAATCAGTTGAAATGAGTCTTTATTTTATAATGTACCAAATATTCTGTATTTCATTTAGAACTTAAATATATTGTGGATAGTATATAAGAAAACAACACTGTTATTTACCCGAAGTATTTTAAAAAAGGACATTTTATAGACCTTTAATTTTTATACCTTGATATTACAAGATTTTTGCTGATGGTTATCATATCGTCAGAATAATATATCAGGCCTAGTCTATAAGCACATATATAAAAGTCAAGTGCCTGTCAATTACACTGAACCAAACTAAGTATCTGAAACAATTTCAAACGCATGCATACGACCACATACCTTTACAGCTTGCTCCAGCTTGGCTGAAAGACTGGCTACAGATTTCTGCATGCGCTCATGCTCATCCCTCTGCCGTTTCAAAATGGGAGCCTTTGCCTCCACTTCTTGTACTATGTCATCGAGATACTTGTTGACACGCTTGTTCTCCAGGCGCTCCAACTGCAACTGCTCCTGGCTTTCTACATATGCAGTATATAACTGCAAAAAAACACCAGTAATAAGTCACAAAACACAATAAATAAGAATACAAGTCAAAATACCCCAAAGTGAGCACAAAAAAAAAATCTAATTTAAATTCTATGCCAGTTAAGAATAAGCATTAGCTTTAGCATCGTGTTGTTTGTCAGAGGAGATAACTTGCATGCTACTTCAATGCATCACAAGTAAAATCATGCGAGCTCCGCGAGGGTTTTAAAAATACTAATTTTAGAATTTGATTGAATTTCACACACTTCAGTGAGCTTCATTTCAGGTTTAATCTTTGACACAGCAGCAGCTGTTGGTGACACCGTTGTCATTTGCGCCTCAGTATGCACAGATGCTGTGCCAACTGGACCTGGACACACAAAATAGATAAAAAGGCAGACAATGAACGAATAAGAAAAGAAAAATGAATTTAAGGACATGCCTGTTTTTGTTGATGTTGTTAATGGTCAGTGAAATGTAAGACGGTCCACGATCAATAAATAACCATGACACATTGACGTACTGCAATCAAGGGAACAACAGAACCGAATTACCTCTTAGTTTTGAATAGGAAAGGAGCTCATTGGCATTGTCCAATTCCTTCTCAAGCGCTTGGATCCTCTCCTTCAGCTCTGCAACGGTCTGATCCGAAGCAGCATTGGCTACTTGCAAATTCTCCTCAAGAGCTTTGTTAGCTGCAGCCAAAGGAGGAAACAGAGCACCAAAACTGAATATTAATGGGGCATTTATAAGAGAATCAAAAACAGATAGTCAAGAGTATTCCTTCATGGACAAATGTGACAAAATTGAGTTGTCATCTCATACCTTCCCCGGCCTCTTGCAGAAGTTTATGCAGCTCCTCTATGGCTCGACTCAGCTCTTCACCCTTGGCCTCAGAATCAGCTGCTGCTACCTGCAGCGATATTAACACATTAGCATCCACTGAGCTTCAATCTGAACCAATCAAGTACCAAATGTTGATGTCTTGTTGGAATACATTCTCTCATAAAATATACCTTGTATAAATTGGAGAGCTTAATGTTGGCATTCAGCTCATTTCTGAACTTTTCCTCTGTAGTGGTCTGCTGCTCCTTTGCCTAAAATAAACAAACATTGTAAAATTAATTCCCGTATTTTTGCCAACCGCCAAAAAGAAAGTCAACACAATTTAGCATGCTAAAAAAGGTGGCGGTAATGCACCACAAGTGTTTGCCAAAGGCCAAAAAACTGTTGATAGAATTATTGCATATTATTGTATGGCTAACCTTAACACAGTAGAAGAAATTGAAGAAGAAAAAGAAATTGAAAAAGTAGTCATATTAATTGTGTACTCTGATCACCCGAACGGTACATTTGAACGCTATGAATTTCCAAATGGTCCAAGTGAAGCAGTGCCCATTCAGAGCGTATTTATCAAAGTGCCCACAATTACGGAACGGGGATTTTGGGTGCGAACCTGAGATCGCCTGTTTCTGTAAAATACATTTACCCCCAAAATGTGACTTAGACTCCAGAAAATACAGTAACTTGTTTTCCACAACAACAAGAAGAAAATGAAAAACATCAAGTAGGTTGCACGTACTTCTTTCAGTTTGTGGATTAGGTCGTCATTCTGTTTTTGGTGGTTTTCATTTAATGTTTTCAGACTGGCCACTTGTTCCTGGACCCTGTTCAACTACAAAATACATGGACCATAAACTAATTAAATCCGCATACATAATGTTATCACAGTTACTGTATCATTCAAGAAAAGAAACATACCTCATCTATTTTATTCTCCAGGCTGCATTTCAGGTCAAGGATTTCTTTACCCTTCTGTCGGGACAAGTTCATAAGTTCTTCGCTCTTGGCCTTCAACTCTGCATTCAACCAAGATGTTTGCCCATCCAGGAGCTCTTTTTCTTGTTCCATACGCTTCTCCTTGTACTAGAATGTCAAACCATCACAAGTCATGTTACTTTACTGTTTGCGCATTGAATTATCAGAGATGAAAGTGGACTTTCCTGAAAATTCCGGGGAAAAAAAACAAAAATTTAAAAAAAAAATGCATATATATATATATATATACACACACACACACACACACACACACTATGTACACTATAGGTAATATCGGGCCGCCCGACCCAAATTTCGGGTCGGGTCGGATCTAAAAATGTCAATCACTGTTCGGTTCGGGTCGGGCTTTTCTCTCGCTGACTTTTTTTTTCTTCGAGTCCGTTAATTGTTTTGGCCACGAGAGACCGTGGTTCGCAAAAAAACTGAAGTGGCGTCATCACAACACGTACTGTACTAAACTCTCGCAATGACAATTCAAAGAACTCCTTCATATCTTTATGATCCAGCCGTCATTGTTCTTTTTTGTCTCGCTGCTTCTCTCTCTTCAAGTGCCACGCTCGATTCTTAAGGACGTATTGCTGCTGTGGTGAATGGCCCAATTTTCAACCCGTCAAAATGACGGACGGCCTTAAATTTTCCCCGTCCACTCTTAAAAAAAAATCCGTCAATGATGGAAAATTGTCCGTTAATGTAACCTCTTCAGAAACAGAAATATAATAGATGTAAATGTTTATCCAGTCTTTTTTGAACTTCGATTTCGTTCCAAAAGACAGGCTTTGTTACCAGCAATCACCCCTCCTCCTCCCGAGTCCTCCCAAATAAAATATGAAATCACGGTTTGCTTCGGGCTCAGGCCTGCAAATCAAGTTAAGCAAGCGCGTCTTTTGATTTCAACCAATCACACACCCGACGTCACACACGACAACAGCTAAACTAAGCTAGCCGAGACGACACTCGAAGTCGGACAGACACGTTTTTCTGCCAATCTGTGTGTTTCCCTTTTTGTCCAAATATATTTTTTACGACAACTGTCTTGTCCACGGTGTCTTTTGTTCGTTCCACTGGGGTTTAGCAAGTGTGTTTATAAAGAGACGAAAATCTCTTTACTGTTACTCGTGTTAGTGTTTCAACACGGCTACGCTCGTGAAAGCAAAACAACAAACTCAAACGCGTCTTCGTTCAATGTTGTCAACTAATATCCGGATTAATTTTCGGCAAATTTTCCTCAATTCTCCGGACAGATTTTCATAAAAATAATGAAAAACACGGAATTCCGGGAAAATCCGGAGGACTTTCATCTCTGAATTAGACAATTTTACACTAAAATAATTAGGATCCAACCAATGTTTTTTTTAGGCTGATGCCAATTCTGATATTTGGCAAAAAATAATTCTGAAAAGGCAATTAATCGGTTGATCATTAGCAAAAATAAAAACATGAAATGTATATTCTGTGGACAGAAGAAACCAAAGTTGAGTTTGGAAGGAACACACAAGACTGTGTGCGGAGGAAAAAAAGAACAGCACACCAACATCAAAGCCAATTAATCGGCCTGGCCCTAACATACAGTGTAGTGAATGAAATCTATTTTGTGGGTGAATACACAAATATACTATTAACTCACTTTGATGTTGACTCCCGTTGCTTCAAGTTCGTCTAACCTCAGCTGCTGAGACATTTTGGAGGCACTGACCTCCACCAACTTATCATTCAGTTGCCTCAAGTCATCTAGTGGGACAAGAAAAAAAAGTGTTTTGTTTTGGGTTTATTTGGGGGGGGACACCAACAAAAAAAATACACCCGGGGATAAATTGTAGTTAAAAAGCAGATAGATTGGACAGATTCCATCTTACCTGTAACCCTAATACGGACAAATGGTATTAAAAAATTAAAAGAAGAAAAAGAAGACACATTGATGGATTCAGGTGCCTGTACCATTTAAATGCTCCACTTCCAAGCTTCTCCTCTCAAGTGTCCGCACAAGTTCAAGCTTTTGTGTTTCCAGTTCTTCCTTGGCGTTTGACAGCCTAGTCTAAAATTGAGTGAATAAATATGCTGATCAAACTGTTAAAACAAACCATACATATCTATGTCGGTGAGTGAACTGAGACAATCTCAATTACTTGGTTATCTTCAGTGAGCAAACAAATCAACCAACTAACTCACAAAGTGAATGAACAACTTAAAGGTAATCTACGTTACCTGTTCTGAAAATGACTTCTCTTGAACAAGTTCATACTGATGGTTCTTCTCACGGGCACTTTTTAGCTCATCCGCTTTACAATAAGGCAATACCACAAACATAGTTAGCATGAAGGATCAAGAGACGTGATAAATTGGGATCGCAAAGTTCACTGTTACCGATTTTCTCCAACTCCTCTTGCAGTGTACTGTGTTCTTGTGTCTGTCTCAGAAAGTCTTCTTGACACTGTGACAGCTGTTTCACCTTGTCAAAGAAATGTTGTTCTGCGAGAGAAAAGGGAATCGCAAGCACAGTGGCATGTTGTTTACGTTATTGCTAGCTACGCAACTTAGTTAAGCATTAGCATTGCTTACGGATTTATTTAAAACAGAATGCAATATGACGACTGAAAATAAACAGTTACAGCAGTTGTGAAATAGAATGCGCTATATTCAACTGCATGAGCTAGCTTGAAGTGAAATTAAAACAGACTTGTCCACTATGGCTACGAACTGTTTACCAACTGCGTGCATGGTGAGCGGACCCGAACATTTTACTAGCACCATTCGCTAGCGAAATATCGGCACATATCTTACCACAGTCAACTCTGAATTGTTCCCGCTGGGCTTTGAGGGTATCGATTTCGTAATGCTGATCCGATATAATCTTCTCGAGTTTGTTTAGTGTCCCTTTTGACAACTTAGACAGCTCGGAACCATCCAAGTCTTGCAATAAGAATGCCGCCATTTTTCCGAGGGTGAGAGGCGGCGCAGGCGCAGAGCTGCAATTAGACGTCGTAAACGCCTGGTGGATTGTGGGAGAGGATGTTTACGACAGGCAAAACCCATCACTGATAAAAACAAATTGGTGAAATTGTTGAAATTAAAACGCAAAAAAAAAATGTTTAAGACGGTTTCCTCGACCCATCAGAACCACGTTGAATTCAAATTCTGCCTTCTGTGTGCTTCGGCGTTTTCATTTCTTCGACGGTGATCACCAGCAGATGGTGCTAAACTGAAAGTAAAGGAGAGTTGTATTGTTCAGCGAGTGCTGTATGTTCAGCGGTATATTTCGGGGAGGGGGGGTTGTTAAAAAAAACAACGTAGTTATAATAATTCTACAAATTACGTTTAAACAAAACATATTTGTTTGAGGAGAAATTGTAACTTTTAACTATTTTGTGCTTTAAGCAAAAATTAGCGCAAAAGTAGAGAGATCTACACGAATTTGGGTTTCGATTGATTTATTTTTATTATTTTTTAGACATTATTAGCGATGTCTGGGCATTTATTTTGATTGAACAAATGGTGTCTGGTCCTACGCTGACACCTACCAGGGCGTTGCTATATTGTTGACTAGCAGTGGCGGCCGTTTTTTTGTTTTTTTTTTAATAGAATCTTTATTCGAACAAGTTATAATACAATTCTCAAAAAACAGAAAACAAAATGAACATGTTATTAATACATATACATATTACAAACATTTAAACAAAAAAGAAGCCAGGGGATTTTAAACAAAAATTTCAAATAAGGAGCATATAGCCAGAGTTTTAATAGCTTTCTTGTTTTTAGAATCCATAATAGAATTTAGGTACTGCTTTATTTCTGTTTCAAAAATTAAGAAAAGAGGTTTTAAATTACTCCATCTGGATTTGTGGATATGGAACTTGGCGAGAATAATTATTAAATTTATAATGAAGGTTTGTTTAGTATTTTTTTTTCCTTACTTTCGTAGAACCCAAATAGTACATTTTTCCAGTATAGCATAAAGTCAGAGTCGATACGATCAATAATAAATCTGGATACAGCTTTCCAAAATGTGTTGGTATACGGGCATTGCCAGAACAAGTGAACCATTGTTTCAGGGTACATTCCACAAAATGAACAATCAACAGAGATGTCTTTCTTGAACCTAAGAAGATAATGCTTGGTGGGATAGTATTTGTGTATCATTTTAAAAGAGATTTCCCTAACTTTATTAGTCAGGAGGTATTTGTATGGGAGAGACCAGATTTTTCCCCAGTGTAGATTATC